TCCCTTATTCCCTACGCCGTTTGCAGTGCCCTTCGAACTGAAGATGTTTGTTCCCTTCGGATTGGAATCTCACTTAAAGGGATACTCCACTTTTTTTGGAAATAGGCTCATTTTACAACTCCCCCAGAGTTAAACTGTTGAGTTTTACCGTTTTTGAATCCATTCAGCCAATCTCCGTTTCTGGCGGTACCACTTTTAGCATAGCTTAGCATACATCATTGAAGTGGACAAGACCATTAGCATTTCTCAAAAATAAATGACCAAAGTGTTTCGATATTTTTCCTATTTAAAACTTGACTCTTCTGTAGTTACATCGTGCACTAAGACCGACAGAAAATGTAAAGTTGCGATTTTCTAGGCTGATATGGCTAGGAACTATACTCTCATTCCTGCGTAGTAATCAAGAAACTTTACTGCCGTACCATGAGAGCAGCAGGCGCAGGCACTTAGTCCCGGTCACGTTGGAAGTTACCGAGCTGGGGACTATTTTCAGGCGCTGCGTCATATCATTACGCCTGCTGCTCTCGTGGTACGGCAGTAAAGTTTCTTGATTATTACGCAGGAATGAGAGTATAGTTCCTAGCCATATCAGCCTAGAAAATCGCAACTTTACATTTTCCGTCGGTCTTAGTGCACGATGTAACTACAGAAGAGTCAAGTTTTAAATAGGAAAAATATCGAAACTCTTTGGTCATTTATTTTTGAGAAATGCTAATGGTCTTGTCCACTTCAATGATGTATGCTAAGCTATGCCAAAAGTGGTACCGTCAGCAACCAGAGATCGGCTGAATGGATTCAAAAACGGTAAAACTCAACAGTTTAACTCTGGGGGAGTTGTAAAATGAGCCTATTTCCAAAAAAACTGGAGTATCCCTTTAAGATGGCGAAATACCCTGTGAAGTCCACTTCGCAGTCCACTTACGGTCGAATGGAACGCACCTATAGAGCAGGCTGTCTTTACGCCTGGTGTGGCTGCAGGTTTGGATAAATAAAGGCCGAATTTTTAACTATCTGGACGATTGGCTGATTCTGGTGCAGTCAGAAACAGAGATATTATCTCACAGAGCTGGGCTCCTCAGTCATCTGGAAAGCCTGGATCTCACGGTCAACTGGACCAAGAGCTCATTACTGCCCAGTCAGTCAATTTCCTTTTTAGGAATAGAACTGGACTCTGTAGCCATGACGGCTCGCTTATCAACACAGCGCGCGCACCATGTTCAGCGACTGGCCGCGTCTTTCCAGAAGGGCAGCACCGCTCCTCTGAAGACATTCCAGAGGATGCTGGGCTACATGGCTTCAGCTGCTGCGGTACTTCAGCTGGGTTTGCTGCGCATGCGCCCTCTGCAACTCTGGCTGGCCGCTCGTGTGTCTCACCGAGCTTGGAAGTCCGGCTGCGAGCGGATCAGTGTGACTCAGAGCTGCATTACAGCTCTGCAGCCCTGGTTAGCGGCCGACTGGTACCAGCGGGGAGTGATTATGGGAACTGTCTCATACCAAAAGGTCATCTCAACAGACGCGTCCAACTCGGGTTGGGCCGCTCTCTTCGAGGGCAGACCGGCCTTTGGCCTGTGGTCAGACCAGGAGAAAATCCTCCATATAAACTTTCTGGAAATGATAGCGTTCGAGAACGCGCAGAAGCGTTTCCTCCCGTTCATACAGGACCGCCACCATCTGCGCTCGCTGAGAGCTGCGCATGTGCCAGGCCACCTGAACGACGGCCCAGACAAACTGTCCAGGGACAATGTTCCCCCAGGGGAATGGACCCTGCACCCCCAAACAGTCCAGTTGCTATTGCGCCTTTTTGGCAAACCGGAAGTCGACCTCTTTGCGTCACAAGACAACGCTCACTGCCCAAAGTTCTTTTCAAAGAACGAGGACGCGCTGGCCCAAACCTGGCCTAGCCGCCCATTATATGCTTTTCCTCCGGTCTCTCTGTTGCCACAGGTTATCAAGAGAATCAGGGAAACACGCCACTCAGTGCTCCTCATAGCCCCGCGTTGGGAGAACCAGACTTGGTTCCCGGATTTGACGTGGCTGTCACAGACAGCCCCGTGGCCAATTCCGGTGAGGGCAGATCTCCTCTCTCAGGCTCGCGGCTCGATCTGGCATCCCCATCCAGAGCGGTGGTCTCTGCATGTATGGTTGATCAACGGACACCTGTTGCCCTGCCAGACGCAGTTATGAACACAATTACGCAGTCTAGAGCTCCTCCTACCAGAAGGCTCTACGCGTCTAAATGGACTGTGTTCTCCAAATGGTGCGCTGACAAAAACCTGGACCCACGTAGGTGTGGGGTTTCGCGGTTGCTTAGTTTCCTTCAAGAGCTGCTGGATGAGGGAAGGTCCCCTTCCACCCTTAAAGTCTATGTGGCAGCCGTTGCAGCGTTCTCAGAATCGACGCACGGCCAGTCAATAGGAAGGAATGAGCTTGTCATCCGCTTCCTTAGAAGAGCCAGGAGGATGAATCCCCCGAGCCCCCCGTCAGTTCCTATGTGGGATCTTTCTTTGGTTCTCGAGGCCCTGAAAGCAGGCCCCCTTGAACCTTTAGACTCTGCGGATCTAAAATACCTATCACTCAAAACCGTTTTTCTGATCGCACTGTCATCAGTCAAACGTGTGGGGGACTTACACGCGCTGTCTGTCAGCGCTGGGTGTCTTAAGTTCGGACCAAATGACTCAAAAGTCATCCTCAAACCTAGACATGTTCCTAAAGTGATTGGCTGGCACTCCGTTCAGAGCTCAGGGTGCTGAGGGTTTACATTACGCGCTCCGCCCCTTTCAGGCGCTCAGAGCAGCTTTTCGTTTTGTTCGGAGGGCGCACCAAAGGTCTCGCCACCTCGAAACAGAGCCTATCTAGATGGATAGTGGACGCTATTGCAGCTGCTTATGCGTCAAAAGGTCTGCAATGCCCTTTGGGCATCAGGGCTCATTCCACCAGAGGCATGGCCTCTTCGTGGGCATAGTCCAGTGGAATTTCTATTCATGACATATGTGTGGCGGTGGGCTGGGCCTCCCTGTCCACCTTTGTCAGGTTCTATAACCTGGAAGTTCCCGCCCTGCAGGCTAAACTGCTGTCAGTTTAAGTGAGATGTCAGTTCTGTCCAGGCATTCGTGCGCAGGCTACTCTCATATGACTTAGCTCTTCTGGTTGAGCTGCACTATATCAGGTTATGTGCTATATGCTTATACATTGACCGGCGTCGCCACTCTGTATTCCCTGTGAGTGCTTATGTACATGCGCTTATTCCTGCTTATCTGGGATCCCCGGGCTTCTCTGGGACTCATGAAGTGGATGCTGGCGTGCACGGCGTTGACAAAGGGTTCCCGTAGTGTAAGCTAAACTTACGCAATACGAGAGAACCTCTCGTAAGAGAACAAATCGATTACCTAATGTAACCTCGGTTCTCTCTAGATGAGGGAACGAGTATTGCGTAACCTGCCGTGCTCGCGCCACGAGCGCTATTTTGCTTCAGTTGATGAAAACCAGAGATTCAGCCTCCGAGCCCCGCTTATATACGCTAACCCACGCCCATTCTGGCGGGCTAGGACGCGTTGGGGGCGCGAGCGCCCTTCATTGGACGTGATGTCACGTCGGGCTCACTGGTAGGCTGCTGCAGTTGCCGCAGGGCAGCCAATGAGCACGCTAGACAGCCTGCTCTAGGTCTGCTAGCTGCTGCCCTGTGTTGACAATGAATACAAAATTAAGGATAATTTTTGGCTTCAATATCTCGAGAAGATGAATCTTTCCCGTAGCATAAGCTAAACTTACGCAATACTCGTTCCCTCATCTAGAGAGAACCGAGGTTACGTTAGGTAACCGATTCGTTTTAAACATTTAGAAAACTTTAAAAAACTTAATGGATACGTTAGGAAAACATTCTTAAATTCTTATATTTTTGCTAGCTGAGGAGGAGAGGTTGGGAATGATGTAATTTGCCATATAGTATCCAATTAGGATTTCACAAGCACTGTATAAACACTGATTCTATGTCATATCATTGTTTTGATGACTCATGACTGTTAGTTTATTGTGTGTATCCATGCTGGACAGAGGATAAGTGGTTTGGGATCCAAAGATGGATGGATGGATGGATGTTTGGCTGGGTGGATGGATGGCTGAGTGGGTGGGTGGCTGGATGGATGGATGGGTTGGTGGATGGATGGTTGGGTGGGTGGATGGATGGTTGGGTGGGTGGATGGAGGGATGGGTGGCTGAGTGGGTGAATGGATGGATGCATGGATGGATGTCTGAGTGGGTGGGTGGTATGAATGGATGGGTGGGTGGATGGAGGGATGGGTGGATGGAAGGCTGAGTGGGTGGGTGGATGGGTGGATGGGTTGATGGATGGATGGATGGATGGATGGATGGGTGGGTTGGTTGGTGAATGGATGGTTGGGTGGATGGATGGCTGAGTGGGTGGGTGGTATGGATGGGTGGATGGGTGGGTTGGTTGGTGAATGGATGGTTGGGTGGATGGATGGCTGAGTGGGTGGGTGGTATGGATGGGTGGAGGTGTTTTTTCCTTGCATTCATTCAGAATTTAGCTATTGAGATATAAACATTTCAAAATGAAACCAGTCCAAAGGGAAGATTTATGCAAATATTGTATAATATTTGTGTTATGTATTTCACTGGGATATTTGCTAGGGATGTTTCAAAAACAGACACAAAGGCCACATACAACAGCTTGAATAAACATTTATTGTGGCATACATAATAGACAATGTCAATTATTGCAACATTCATTTTCTATCTAGAGGTTGCAACAATTACCACCCACTTTTTCAGCCTATATATTTCAGAAAATATATTTCCTAGAAATTTTCTCCATAGGGATTACAAAAATATCATCAATAAATCACAAACTTTCATTTGACGCAAAATGCATAAATTCAAATAAACTATTGACATAACTTTAATCATACATTTATTTTAAATATATATAGTAGCCTTAGACTGACTTGATAACATCATTTGAAGTGCTTTATTATTAGGGCAGAAATTGTTGAGCTTTTTATTGAGTTTCCAAAAAAGTTTCAATTCCACTTTGGGATTATGGGTACTGTTGTAGATGAACAGGAATCACAAATTTATCACAAAGTGTTTGTAGATAATGCTATAATTAATATTAGATGTTCAAAGATAATCTGTTTATCAAATTATATCCTATGCAGGGGGAAAAAATATTTGGCATTATGATTTATTGTTGGACTGTCTCTCTGCACTTGATGTGCATTCTGTAGGGTTTGGGCGTCATGGTGATCCCATACACTGGGGTGTAATCTGGTTCCCCGGCATCATCGGGCCACACAAACTGGAAACGGCGTAACAGAGTGACCGTGACCAGGAAGAGCTCCATCCGTGCAAGACCCTCACCGAGACACACACGAGGACCTGTAAAACACATACAATGATGATCACAGAACAAGTCTGGAAAAGATAAAACACAAAAAATGTTATACATTTCTGAATGGTTACCTGTAGAGAAGGGTATAAAGGCCTCAGGCTTCTCAAACTGGCCCTGCTCATTCAGGAAGTTGTCTGGGTTGAATTCATGAGGAAACTTCCACTGGCCTTCTTCTTTTAGTACAGAACTGAGGTTGGGAATGATTACAGTTCCCTGACCGAGGAGAAACAGTTTAAATTCGATTTGAAGTAGGAAAAACTCCGGTTTCTAGGCAGGTTTCCTCACCTTTGGGATGTTGTAGCCCATCAGCTCAGTGTCTTTGGTGGTGCAGTGAAAAACACTTAGTGGTACAGTGTTAGCGACGCGCTGAACTTCATGAATCACAGCCTGTGTGTACGGCATATCATGTCTGTCTTCATACGATGCGTGATCTTTACCCCCCAGAACATCATCAATCTCTTGCTGACATTTTGCTGGTGAGAAAACAAGGCCACGTTTGTCTGTTTAAGTTCTCTGAAAGGAGTTAGCTAATATGTTAACATACACCCGAGTTGACAATATCCAGTTAAAAAATGTCAAATTAGCAATAGAATTCAAAACATCATATATTTAGCTTCTTTAGTTCAATTCAGACTTAAAAACTGTAATGCCTGTTCTAGCATCGCTAGTCAAAAAAGCGATTTTTCCATTCCTACAGCTGCCATATTGAGCATTATGGCAGCTGTAGAGACTGCTCTACTGTGTCTGGTTTAACCTAAACCTGCTTTAAATTAAGCAAAAATCTATGTGTGCTTTTTTTAAACAGACCTTGAACCTCTGGGTGGTTCATGAGGTACAGAAAAGCAGTTAGGAGGGTGTTGGAAGTGGTGTCAGTCCCTGCAAAGTGCAAATCCAAAATGTTCATGATGAGCTGGTCTTCAGAAAAGGTGGAACCATCATTTTTTATCTAGGGAATATAAGATATCATTCATTCAGTCTACAACTATGGTGCATTTGTTCAAGAATAACGTGGTGACACAGTTTAAGACCACCAGAGTAAACGCTTCTATTTTTAAAATTACAATTTATATTATCAGCATAACAATTTCGAAGAAAATATTTCCAGATTTAAATTAGATTAGATTTTGAACCTCTGGTTTTCAATTTGGTCTTAGAAGTTTGGACCCTTATGTATGTCAGAAGAAATTCTCACCTTATCAAGCTCATCCAGATAGCAGTCAATGAAATCTCTCGGCTTTCCTGAAACTCTTGTGCTCTTGTGTTCAGCGATCAGACTTATATTTATATCTTTTATCTTCTTCACATTATCAAAGGCTTTTTTAAAAGGCAGGGGCAAGATTCTCAATAAAGGAAGTGTGTCATATATCTGTTAGGAAAGGACATATACAATCTTATACAATTACTCTAAAATACAAGCCCAAATTTGAATGTCAGTCACATTTAGTGAAATGAAAATTTTATAAATATTATTTATTCTAAAAAACATAACATAAAAACCTCTAGATGTTGACAAAATTACATATTTAGAAGTTATACAGGCTTAAATTTTACAGAAAAAAAACAATTATACATTCATGACTCATCCTGCACTACACAGATTTTTGTCCAATCAGAGGCTCTCTAGAATGAGAATGCCCCTCCCCCTATTAGCCAACTGTACCAACTTCCTCTGATTAGCAATAGCATGTAACATCATAGTTTAATAATTGGCTGTAGAGAAAACTGCAATTATCAAGCAATTTAATGGGCGTTTTGATCTAAAATCTTACCATGTTCCATGGTCCATTGAGGACCTTTGAAATCTCTGTAATGAGCTGAACGAAGCACTGAAGGAATTCATTGTTGTAATCAAAACGGGATCCGAACAGAACCAAGCCGATAACATTTGATGCTAATTTGTGGAACATATTTTGAGGATTCACAGTTCCTCCTGTACAAATGTAAATCAAAAAGATTGACATTTTCCTTGTCAGCTGATATATAAAATAAATAAATCATATTGTCTCCATCTTGTCGATCGAAACTTTTTAAAAAACACAAATAAATAAATACCAGCATTTTTGTCTAAGTAAGAAACAATGTGTGAAATCTCTCCCAGAATTCTCTCCTCCATGGACTGCTTCCCCAGGCCAAAGTTCCTCATGGTCATCAAAGCAAAGCGTCGATGATCCTTCCAAAGGGGGCTATAGTTAGCCAATACAACACCTTTAGTAAAATGACGTTAGTTAAAAGTTGTAGGGTTTCTAGCACTAAAGATATTCCAACACATTTTATTTATCTCATATTATAACATGTAGACCTGCGGTTTAACAGACAGGGCTTAGATTAAGCCAGGAATAGACGTTAGTTTTCAATTAGAATATTTAATTAGCTTTTGCCTTAGAAAAAAAAAACATTACTGGTGTGCATCTCAAGACAAAACAATGGCATTGACATATTTTTAGATATACCAGTGCAAGTTGATTTCAGTTCAAACAGTTCAAACATGCATTTTAGTCTGGGTCTAGTCCTGAATCTTGTCTGTGAAATCGGGGGATTGCGTTCCTGATCCTGATATAAACTGTACATTTTATTTAGTCCTGTTGTGTTGCGTTGTGCGCGTGCTCAAATCACTCGTGCATGCTCTAGTCTACGCGACGCGGAGTGATACTGGAGCGGAACAAGTTGGGCAAGTTACTGTGGGTCAACCTCATTCAGGAACGACATTATTGATGCAGTACAGTTGGAAGTATTTTCGCTGGCGGAGCAAAAGAGTCATGTTGTGTCTAACTAATATGTATGTCATTCTTTACTGAACTGTCGCTAAACTGTTATTTACGTAGCTGATACAGCTTGTAGTAGCAGTTACCTTTATTCTCCGAGATATGACTGATCATGGAGTCTTGAGGCCGTCCTGAGAAGTCTTGAGCCTTTGCCACCAGAGCTTCCTTGATAACCTCAAAACTATTCAGAAAAACTGCTGGTCTTGATCCAGTATACAGACTGAAAATATTCCCATATCGTTTTGCAAACTAAAAAAAAAAAAAGGAAAATTATTTTACAAACAAGAAAAAAAAAGAAACGTTTAAACTTAAGATGACAAAGCCATACTCTTTCAAAATCCTTCAAAGGATTGGCCATGTTCAAATGAAGCAGATTCCCAAATACTGGCAAAGGACGAGGTCCTGGAGGAAAATTCTTCGGCCTTTGGATCCGGACTAGGAGGAAGATGAAGAAGATACATATCCACAGGAGAATCAAAGAGCCCAGCATGCTGACTGATGTCCAGCTGTTGTCTCTCGGTCTCAAGCAAAACAAGCTTGTGAACTCAAACCACTCAATCTCTTGGTACTTCTCCTATCTGAACAGATATTGGCAGTGTTCCAGAAAGATAAAATTAACCCAGACAAACAAGCACTGCTCAAAATTCTGCGTTTCTGTATTCACCTGAATTCAACTGGTTTGAACTCTGCAATTAAATACAAATCCCTTCACACTATACTGGTGTGCATCTTGAGACAAAACAATGGCACTGACATATTTTAAGGTATGCCAGTGCAAGTTGCTTTCAGTTAAAAGAGTTCAAACATGCATTTTAGTCTGGGACTAGCTTAAGCCTTGTCTGTGAAACCGGGGGTACAACAGATTTCTATTTCAAATAAATGCTGTTCTTTTTAACTTCATCAAAGAATCCTGAACAAATCTATCACGGTGTCCACAAAAATATGATAGCGCAAACTTGTTTTCAACATTAAATGTTTCTTGAGAACAAATTAGCATATTAGAATGATTTCTGAAGAATCACGTGACACTGAAGACTGGAGTAACAGTCTTTTCATTTTTAGATTTCAACAATGATTATTACCCTACAAATGATTAAGTGAACAAAATAAAACCACTCTGGCACACATTCAGACAAGATGAGCCAACTATTTTGTAAAAGTTTTTTATTTAAGGACTGTCTTAAGATGCATTGCGATTGTTTTTATGACCTTTTTTTATAATATACCGTATATGACCAGTCATAATACATACTGTTATTAAAATAATAACATCAAATCATCTTTTGCAACAGAAAAAATTATAATTTGACTGTCTGTCTGCACTTGATGTGCATTCGGTAGGGTTTGGGGGTGAGGGTGACCCCGTACACTGGGGTGTAATCTGGTTCCCCGGCATCATCGGGCCACACAAACTGGAAACGGCGTAACAGAGTGACCATGACCAGGAAGAGCTCCATACGTGCAAGACTCTCACCGAGACACACACGAGGACCTGTACACCATGTGCGTATACGATTTACAAAATGCACTCAAACAACTCAAAACTATACCTGTATCCGATTCTAAATCCTTTACCTGCAGAAAAAGGCATAAAGGCCTCAGGCTTCTCAAACTGGCCCTGCTCATTTAGGAAGTTGTCTGGGTTGAATTCATGAGGAAACTTCCACTGGCCTTCTTCTTTTAGTACAGAAGTGAGGTTAGGAATAACAAAAGTTCCCTAGAGAAGAAAAGGAAACAAAGTTATGGTTTTAAAGGCTTAAAACTCTCTTTATATATGGTTTCCTCACCTTTGGGATGTTGTAGCCCATCAGCTCAGTGTCTTTGGTGGTGCAGTGAAAAACACTTAGTGGTACAGTGTTAGCGACGCGCTGAACTTCATGAATCACAGCCTGTGTGTACGGCATATCATGTCTGTCTTCATACGACGCATGATCTTTACCCCCCAGAACATCATCAATCTCTTGCTGACATTTTTCTGGTGAAATAAAAGCTATTTTAAGCTAAAGCAATGATCGAATTAATTCAAATGCATTAAATAACCAAAACACAAACCTTGAACCTCTGGGTGGTTCATGAGGTAGAGAAATGCAGTGAGGAGTGTGTTTGACGTGGTATCAGTCCCTGCAAAGTGCAAATCCAGAATGTACAGGATAAGTTGAGCTTCAGTAAACGAGGAACCATCGTTTCCTCTCTGGTGAAATTAAAATAACCACTGATTAGAGATTAATACAAACAACTTTCTCAATCAGGTAAAATAGGGATGCACTAACATTAAAAGTCAGCGTTTTCACAAATTCGCGTTTTTGTAGTTGCACTTTGAAACATTTTCAGGCCCACAAAACGCCGTTGTCATGTAAAAGAATGGCCAAAACGCATAAAAAGTTTTCCGTTTTTAGTTGAAAACGGTGTTGTGTAAAAGGTCCCTAACTTTAAGGCTGTCTATTAATCGAGATACATTTGAAAACTGTGTTTTTGTTTCAAAACGCTCTCCATCCACACTAGCGTTTTCAACCATTTTCTAAAGATTTCTCGTCCACACTGAAATGTCGGAAGACGCTTAAATCTTCTTACTGTACATGCGTTAAACATAATAAAAGCTCACTGAGATGATAACAAGAGACCAGACATAATAAAGTTCTCATGTTATTCTTCTGGCACAATCACTATTAGCAAAATATCTCACACTTACTTACGCGTTCAGGTCACACTCATTCACCACTCTAAGTTTGTTCTAAAATGCAATTGCCCTCATATTTTGCCGCAGGACAGCAATTGAGAATAAATTCATCTTGGCAGGAATGTAATATGAAAATTTTACAAAGTAACATGTATCTTTAGCAACATTGTGAAAGTGAATAGCACATTGCAGGCACATACCGATATAAACATATCTATCGGTAGGCTACAATATGCGTCACATGACTGAACATGCATCCTCGTGTCCAAATACCTCTGTTTTCTATGGAAGTTTGTTTCCGCCACAGAATGAAAAATAAAAAAGGTAATTGCGACTTTTTATCTCACAATTCTGACTTTTTTTCTCACAATTGCGAGTTTACATCTCGCAATTCTGACTTTATTTCTCAGAATTGCGAGATATAAAGTCAGAATTGCGTGATATAAAATCGCAATTGCGTGTTATAAAGTCAGAATTGCGAGATATAAAGTCAGAATTTATTGATATAAAGTCGCAATTGTAGGTTATAAAGTCAGAATTGCGTGAAATAAAGTCAGAATTGCGAGATATAAAGTCAGAATTGATTGATATAAAGTCGCAATTGCGTGTTATAAAGTCGAAATTGCGTGTTGTAAAGTCAGAATTGTGAGATATAAACTATTCTGAGGGAAAAAAGTTAGTCTTTTTTTCCCCTTAGAATTGGACTGATAACAATTGCGAGTTTATATCTCACAATTCTGAGAAAAGATGTCAGAATTTCGAGACATAAACTCGCAATTATGTGTTATAAAGTCAGGATTGCGAGATGTAAACTCGCAATTGTGAGAAAAAAAGTCAGAATTGTGTCTTTTTTTCTCGCAATTGCGACTTTTTTCCTCAGAATTGCGACTTTTTATCTCAGAATTGCGACTTTATTTCTCAGAATTGCGACTTTATATGTCACAATTGCAACTTTATTTCTCACAATTCTGACTTCATATCTCGCAATTGTGAGATAAAAAGTCGCAATTATTTATTTATTTTTTATTCAGTGGCGGAAACAAGCTTCCATAGTTTTCAGAGTCCACATAATGCAAAAACTGCGTTTCAAATGTATCCACTTAGGAGAGCGTCTTCAAAAAGCGTAGTTTTCACAGATGTTTTCAAATGTATCCAGATTAGTGTAGATGTAGCCTAAGTGATCATTAGATAATGGCAAAGGTAATATAAATGTAAAAATAGAGTAAATGATGTACCATTAAATATCCAATATCAATCAATACTAATAAATTAAAAAAAATCTCTAATATCGTCGATAACCAGTATGGTCCCGATATATTGCGTATTCCTAAAAAAATACCATTACAGATGTGCAAGCACCTTATCAAGCTCATCCATATAGCAGTCAATGAAGTCTCTTGGCTCTCCTGGGACTCTTGTCTTTTTGTGTTCATCGACCAGTTGTGCAGACAAATCTCTGGCCTTGCTGGCATTTGTGAAGGCCTTCTTGAAGGGTAGAGGCAGAAATCTCAGCATAGGAAATGTATCGTATATCTGCAATAAAATAGAGAAAATTATTCATAAAAATTCCAAAGGACAACTACAGAAAATATTTGTATATGTCTTGGTCAGTAGATAATCCTGAAACTCGTATTTTAATCAGACTTTTGGGTGTCTCTGTATGTGTATTTTATTAGCTGTGAATATAAACACTTAAAAGATGAAGTGATAAAATGCCTCACCATGGCCCATGGTCCATTGGCAATCTTTGCATTCTCTGTATAGAGGTGAATGAAAATCTTGAGGAATTCGTCTTCATAATCATAACGGGATCCAAACAGAACAATGCAAATGATATTTGATGCAGCATTGTGGAACATAGTCTGAGGGTCAAAGGACTTTCCTGCAAGTACATTGATCTGAATGTCAAGTCAAGCTCTTGTGAGTTTGTTTTGAGATACCGAAAATAAGATTAATGAGTACATTATTACCAACTATTTTTTCCAATTTAGCAGTAACATGTGAAACCTCTCCCAGAATTCTCTCCTCCATTGACTGCTTCCCCAGACCAAAGTTTCTCAGGGTCATCAAAGCAAAGCGTCTGTGTTCTTTCCAAGAGGGGCCATAGTCAGACAAAATTACACCTGCGATAATATGTAACTGTTATTTACGGGCCTCAATGGTACTAAGTGTAATCTCAGATAAGGCTGAAAATTGCTCTGTGGACTCTGTATAAAGAGGAGATTGAGTGAACAACCTCAAAAACATATTGATTAACCGTATTCTGTACAGAGGTATAAGAGTGAAGGTTGATTTGGAAGTATTTACCGCTTCCCTTTGTAATATGGTTGACCATGAGGTCCTGAGGGCGACCTGCAAAGTCCACAGCCTTAGTAACAAGAGCTTCCTTCAAAACCTCGAAACCGTTAAGAACTATCCAAGGCTTTGATCCGAGGTACAGACTGTAAACTTTTCCATAGCGATCTGCCAGCTAAAAGGTTTAGCGTTAAGACATCACACAGGGCTGCTCATTATGCAATACATTACCAGATGTTTTAAACAGATAACTCTTGGCAGTTGTATGGTTATTCTTAAAGTATTTATTTATGTTCAAATAATGTAATACGGTACCCTCTCGAAATCCTTCAAAGGATTAGTGATGTTTAGCTCTAGCAAATTCCCAAATAATGGCAGAGGACGAGGTCCTGGAGGAAAGTTCTTTGGCCTCGGGATCTGGATGAAGAGGAACAGGATGAAGATGCATATCCACACCAGTATCAGAAAGCCCAGCATGCTGACTGATGTTCAGCTGTGAACTGCTCACGTTTCACATTTAAACTCACAGATAATAACACACCGAGCCCTCCCACTTCAAATAATGAACATTCCCATGGAGCATGATGTTGACTG